TCAATGCCAATGTTCTCTGCATTAGATGAATATTGGAGTTTTTATCCAGTTGCGTGGCTAAAGGGATGCAATACATTTTCTTGCATCCCAGGAAACATTTCTTGCATTTTGAGCTACATTATCTGCTTCAGTAAATGCTGTCATTCTGCCTGGGTTTTGACTCCAAGTTGTCAGCTGCAGGGAAACGTGATTTAAACTACCCAAGCTAAAAAGCAGGGAAAAATAATTAAAGCTTTCTGACAGTAAACTTATCATGTAGTCTTTAATTTGTGAAATAGTAAATATTACCCTCTTCCTTGATCTCTACCATCTAGAACTCCCAGTGGATAAGGCAATTGGCTTCATTTGAAAGCTTCTCTGAAGACAGGCATTCTGTAAAAACATACTACTTTATCAGAATTCTTTAGAGATTTTTATGTGTACACACATCATTATTAGTTTTCTGATGAGGCTTGCTGGAATGTAGAAGGCTGCCTAGAAAAAGGTTCTTGTTTTCTGGGAAATAAAATTATGGTTTATTAGCTTGGAAACAACAAAATCATGAAGGAGAAATAATGGGAGAAACAAATTTTGCATGTAGGACTTAGCAACCAGCCTTAGAATCAGCTGATGGACTGGCGAGGATATGCTGAGAATAATTTAGCAATAAATTTGAGTGTGAAATTTCTCATTACACGTTCTTCACCTGCATTTACATTATACTCTGGGGGAATTAGTTTCACATATTTTCACAAAAGCATTCATACTAAGTAACTCTAATATTTTTAGCATTTGCAGATGAATAATTATAGGACCTATGTGAATATAAGATTATTTTAAAATGTTGATAACTATGCCTGATAATTACATCTGAGTGTTAGAACATAATGTCCTAACACTCAGATATAACACTCAGATATAAAAACAATACACAATGGAAATCATGTATTTTGTGAGTAAAGGGAAAAATTATTAGTTATACAGGAATTGATAGAGTATAATTCAACTCCCTAATAATCATACTGCAACCTTTAGTATGCTTTTACTGAGCCACAGGCACATACATCTCCTCTATATGAATATTCCTCTCTCTGAATATTTCATATGTAATACATAGTGAGAAAGTTAAAGGATATGAAATGCCTGTTCTTTTCTCTGAGTTGTACCAATTGTTATATAACTACTTAAAGGATGTCCTAAGGATGTCCTATGCTCCTTTACTTATTGTTCCCTTAAAGTAGTATTCTATTGCATTGTGATGCTATGATTAATTCAGAATCTCTAGTTTCTGAAACAAAATATTATGCTTATTACTGAATTAAACCAAGTAAAATTGAATAATATGAATGTAAAAATTGCCATTTATTAAAATTGATCATATCTATTATCTTCTAATTCAGAAATTCACTAAATTAATTCCAGTCTCTTTATAACATACCTAATTTCTATGGAGTATATACAGTGGTGAACAGAAGGATGATCTGTGGAGAGAATTAAAACATATTCAGAAGACTGTTAATTTAAAGATAACAAAGCCATAAAACAACCTGCTTATCTTTGATATTTTCATCTCCCTTAGTTTTAAGAGTAGCAAACCTTCATTTTAAAATAGTAAAAACCAAGAAAAATTTGGATATAATATCATAGTTTCATTTTAAGACACAGAAAAGTTATCAAAGCAAAATTATCTTTTTATAAATTTAGACCCTATGTATGGCTTGATTGGTTTTTCAATTACAGTCTTATGGACTCATTGCACTTGATACTCCACTTAACAAGACTATTTCATGATATGCCTGAATATTTACTTCATCTTTATGTAAATACATTTCAAATTTACTTTTCCCAATTAACTAATCTACCTTCAAAATATTTATACTCTACTATTCTTTGAGCTTTTATGGCGTTAGAATACACATATTGCACCAGACATGTGCATGTATTACATGTGTATGCTTCTCATGAAGTAATAATTAGTCAATATTTACATTTAAATGTGCAGAAAAGTAGTTTATGCTTTGACTTTGAAGCACTTTATTATAATAAGCTAATATCTGTATTATTTTATTTATAATGTACATTTTTATTTGTTCCAGATATTGATATCCTGAATATTTTTTTCTGTTTTAGCTCTTTAAATAAAATTATATACAAAAGACAAAATGTAACATAAAAAATATTATTGCAAAGTGGAGACAGAGACTATTACAACAGGGAGAAGGCTATGACCATAAGAAGATCTACAAGTATCTTAACAGTTTGGCAAAAAGGGCATTTTTGTTTTGTTGCTGTTTAATAGACAGAGAGGAGCAATCAAAGCTAGAAAGTGACAAGTGTGGAGAAGTGGAATAAAAGGATGGCATAATCTAATGGCAGATCAAAAAGAGTTTGATCCTGAGGACAGCCTCTTCTTAGGAGGAGCTATACGCTGACTAAGGCTGAAGATGGGATTATGTTCAGCTGCCTGGAGGAAGAGGAAAAGCTTAATCAAGGTTTGATTAACAAACATTTTGTAGTCATTGATCAGTGGAGACAAGCAGTTCAGCTAATGATGTATAAGACAAAGAAAGGGAATTTTAAAGGCTACTGTCTGGCTTTGTCACAGGTAAACCAGGTAGGCATCCAAGAGTCTTATCTAAGTCAAATAGGGAAGGGTGGTTCTTTGAAGTAAACTGTTTTCTGGAAGATAAAGGTTTGGGAGATTTTTTAACCTTCACTGTTTTTGAGGATCATAGGGCATAGATAAAATTCAAACTTGTTAGTGGTCACCATTTTAAAGACTTTTCATTCATTGCAGCTTCATAATCCTTTTACCACCAATTTGTCCCAACCCAGGGGGTAATATTAAACTATACATAAAATACTTGGATTTATTTCTGCACTCTCCATTCTATTTCATTGGTCTAAGTGATTATTTTTACACCCATATTATGCTGTTTTGATTACTAAGGCTTTGTAGTATATTTTATTTTGAATTCAGGTAGCATGATGATTCCAGCTTTTTTCATTTTGTTCAAGATTGCTTTGGCTATTTGGGATCTTTTTGATTCCATAAAAATTTTAGGATTTTTTTTCTATTTCTGTGAAAATTGTCATTGTAATTTCGATGGGGATTACACTGAATCTGTAAGTCACTTTGAGTAATATAATTTAATAATATTAATTCTTCCAACCTATAAACACAGGATACCCTTTTATTTATTTGTTCCTTCCTCAATTTCTTTCTATAATGTTTCATAATTTTCAGTATGTATGTCTTTCACCTCCTTGATTAAATTTATTCCTAAATATTTTATAGATATTTGGTAGCTATAAGTGGGATTATTTCCTTGATTTCATCTTTGGATAGTTCATTGTTGGTGTATAGTTATGCTCCCACATGATCCAGCAAACCCACGACTGGATAGATATCCAGAGGAAATGAAATCACTGTGTCATAGAGACATTCCACTTCCTTGTTCACTGCAGCATTATTCACAGTAGCCAAGATACAGAACCAACCTAAATGCCCATCTATAGATGAGTGGATAAAGAAAATGTGGTATATATACATAATAGAATGTTATTCTACCTTTTAAATAAGGAAATCCTGTCATTTTCAGCAATGTAGATGAACCTGCAGGACATTACATTAACTGAAATAAGTCATACACAGAAACAGAAATACTGCATGATCTCATTTACATGTAGAATCTAAAAAAGTTGAACTCAGAAGTAGAGAATAGAATCATAATTACCAGAAGCTGGGGGTCGGGTTGGGTTAGGGAGATGTTGGTCACAACATACAAAATGTCAGGTATGTAGGAGAAATAATTTCAAAGATCTGGTGAACCACATGGTGACTGTAATTAATAACAATATATTGTATTCATGAAAATTGCTAAGAGAATAGAAGTGTTCTTATCACAAAAAATGATAAGTAACCTTAACACTTGTACCCCCATAATATGCTAAAATAAAAAATAATAATAAAAAATAAAAAAATGATAAGTATGTGAGTTAATACATATGGTAATAGCCATACTATCATGTATACATATTTCAAAATAACATGTTGTACATGATAAATATGTAAAAATATTGTTAATTAATAATGAATGAAAAATGAATTAAAATGAATAAAAATGAATGTGGAAATATTTCTTTCTTATTATTTATTTATTTTTTAATTTCAGAATATTATAAGGGTACAAACATGTTGGTTACAAGTAATGCCTTTGCCTCGCCCAAGCCAGGGCTAGAGGCATGCCCTTCCCCCATACAGTGCACTCTACACCAATTAGTTGTGAGTTTACCCACCCCCACGCCCCCACTTGATTAGCACTCCATGAATATTACTACCACATGAGCACCTCAGTGTTGATCAGTTAGTATCAGTTTGATGGCAAGTACATGTGGTGCTTATTTTTCCATTCTTGTGATACCTAACTTCAAAGGATGGGCTCAAGCTTTATCCAGGATAATGTAAGTGCTAGATCACCATTGTTTTTTGTAGTTGAGTAGTATTCCATAGTATACATATACCACATTTTATTAATCCACTCATGTATCGATGGGCACTTGGGTTGTTTCCACATCTTTGCAATTGTGAATTGTGCTTCCATAAATATTCGAGTGCAGATGTCTTTATGATATTATTAAATGAAACTATACATTTTTTATCAATCTATATACAATGTTTGGAAGAGTAACTAGTTTTCAATTACCTTTTTTTACCTGCATATAGTAAGAAGGAGCTCTAACTAGTTTAAAATGTCAATGTATTGTTTAGACTTGATATTCACCAGTAGAGGAGTGAATAAATTAAACAGTATTTATGTATAAGTGTTATAATAATGCAAAATAAATATATTTTTAAAATATATGTGCAGCTAACTGAAGAATATGTTGTCAAACCTTAATTAGCTTCCAATTTTGTAAAGCATAGAAATGCATCAAACTATTAAATAATAAAAGTTATGAGATTTTTACTCTGAAATTATTTTTTTCTGGGTTGGGTTTTTTTGTGGGTCTTTTTTTGTTTTTTATTTCGAATACTTAAAAAGTCCCTTGGGCTCTGTGGGGCTCCCCATGCTCATGGCTCCTTTCCCCCACACTCACTCCCCTCTCCCCACATCAAATCTGTTTCAAGGACAGCACTTTTTTAAATGAACAGTTAACATTAGGTTCTCAGCTAGCTCTACAGAATCAAAGGAGCTGTTTGAATCTGTTGTATGCAGACTGAGTTTCTTTTGTCTGGCACCAGGTCTCCAGCCATATCCAAAGGCATTTATCCACAGAACTGAACTAGAACTCCTTACCTTTACTCCACTTCCTCCCCCTCACACCTATCCTACACCAGTCACAAGGTCAAGGAGGAGGATAGTTAGGAGTGTTTTTATGAACTCCAAGCCCTAATACATATTCTCCCAAATCTCCCATCCCACCTTTTCAACCCCACCCCCAGGATTTCATTGAGATTTCTCCCAACAGTTATTTGGGAAAAAGGCAAAATAAAAAAGGTTCAAGGTCTTGGTGCTCAGCCCAAGGGGCTCCATGCGCTGGGACACCGATGGGCAGGGGCTTCTGCCTCTCCAGCCCGTGCCCAAGCCACCTCCTGACCCCTGGCTGCAAAAGCAGGGAGAGGCAGGAGCCAGCACAGGACCCAGGGGGGCAGCGTCTCAGGATCTGGCGGAGCCCCGGGCAGCATCACTCAACTTGGCCACCCGCAAGCTTGCTGGTGACGAGCGAGGACTTTCTCTGGGGCAGATCCTGTGGGGTAGGGATGTGGTCACCAGTCACCAGGTTCTTGTCTGGTCCTGTACTTGGCAGCTGCTTATTCTTCATCTTGGCTTTGGCCATGTTGTAGTCTCCTGAGTCAAAGTATTTTTGCCCTTTCTGGAGTCTCTTCATGAAGAAGTCGGAGCCTCCAGGCTTTTGTCCTAGGCTTGGATATTTGGCCTTTAGCTTTGCCTCCTCAGCTCTCTCAGGGAGAATACCTTCTTTCTCCTGCGTGTCCTGTTTCTCCTCGCCCGTCTCCTCCGCAGGGTTCTCTTCGTCTTGTTTCTGGGACATGGCGGGACCAGGACTGTGGAGTGTAGGGGTCCCGGGAAGTCAGCCGGAGAAGGGAAGGGGGAGGGGAAACGGGGACAACCTGCGCTGCTGTTTTGGCTCCTCTTACTCTGAAATTTTTGTTAAAATTTTAAGTAATTTTTAAAATTTATACTTATCTGCATTTCCTAATGGGTCTATAATGATCATCACTTTCTTGTGTCACAAAGAAAATATATTAACTGAAATGGGGATTTTGCATGTAGTTGAAAATGTATGAGTGAAACCAATAGTTGTCTTAAGTTTTAGAGTTGGAGTTGGCCAATAAGGATTTTAGAAGAAATAGTTTTAAAATGTTTAAAATATTTTCTGTGGACAATGAAGATAACCCCTATTTGGAAGCATTCATGTTTATTATTAAAATGAAAACTTACTTAATAATATGTTTTTTTCTCACATTGCAATTCATACGCAATTTTTTAAATTTTTTAACCCTTGTGACACTTTTTTGTTTGACTCTTACAAAATGTATGATGGTCATTCTTGCATTATTCCTATTTACGTACCAATATTTTCTTTCCCATTATATTCCAAATTCTTCAGAATGGTGTAATGGAGAAAAATTGGTTTTAAAGTTTAGGTACAGACCTTACTGTGAATTTGCCTCATTAATAAAATTTCTTACCTGCATCTAGAGAATGGGAACTGGAACTAAATATTTATAGTAATGATGATGAATGATGAATGTGATAAAGACTTGAGCTATCAAATAACTTGGATCATTATATGCTCTTTTAAAATTTTAATCTACAGTTTTTATTCACACAAAATTAATTTACATTGATGTTCTAAAAGTCAACAGTCTGACAATGTCACAGGAAGTAGTGTCACAAACAGACATAAACTACCACGACTCATTATAAAATTGATCTGTTTGCAATTTTCAAAATTTGTCATGTTTGATCAACTGTAAGAAGTCACATTATCTAATCAAGGCAAATTGAAATTCTCTGTATGCACACTACAATACAAAATAGGGGGCTAGAATTGGTGCACGATGTAAAAAGTAACAGTCTATGTTAGACAGCTTCCCCAAGAAAGGGTTAGTGTCTAATTTTTGAGACTTATAATTAACATATATGATGAAATCATAAAAGCTATCTTAATTTTATTATTTTATTTATTTTATCCCTACAAAAATAATTAGTAAAGACATTTTGGTTGATTATATATATATTATATATATATGTGTGTGTGTTTATGTATATGTTTATATATGAATGATTATATATATATGTATACATAAATATATATAAGCATGATATGACTTAAATGTTTATATCCCCCCAAAATTCATGTTGTTGAAACTTAATCATCAATATAGAAGTATTAAGAGGGTAGGTCTTCAGAAGGTAATTAAGTCATGGGAAAGCCTTCATGAATGGGATTGGGTCCCTTCAAAAAGGATTTGTCAGAAAGAGAATATCCTTCTTGCCCTCTGCCTTCAACTGCTTTAGGACATAGCATTCTTGCCCTCTGAAAGATCCAGCAACAAGACATCATCTTGGAAGCAGAAAGCAGCTTTCACTAGACAACCATGATCATAGACTTCCCATTCTCTAGAACTGTGACAAAGTAAATTTCTGTTCTTTATAAATTACCCAGTCCCAGATATTTTATTATAGCAGCACAAATGGATTGAGATGCATATATGTAAATAAATATATACACACACACACAAATGTACATGTGTTCATATATATGACAAATTTAAAATTTACTTATATTTATTACTTCTGAGTAAATAATATTTATTTGTATTTCTTATATAGTACTTAGGTACTAAACATTTAGGAACTGTATCAATTTAAAACACTCGGTAATACATCTTGATACAGATTTTAACATTGTACATGTGTACTGATACACAGTTTATTGAACAATAATTATATATTCAACCCCATGTGTAACACTTTATGTATTTGATCTTAAGGATAAGATCAGTAACAGTAGCTTCATTTTTCCAATTAAGCAATTCAGGATAAGGAAGTTTACAATATATTTCTTAGTTGAGCCAGCTAATGAATTCCAAACCTTGGATGCAAATCCCAATATGCTCAGCATCAAAATTTGTGAAAGATTTTATATACACATACACACACATAAAATTTAACTAAATGTGAATATAATTACCATTAATATTTATCTTACTTTATATTATGTCCACATGGAACATAAATATTTATGTATATATCTCATGTGGATTTCTATATCTATGTATAGATAGTACTCAGGAAGAAAATATATTTACATTTTTATGTTTAATATAAATACATAAAATATGAATGACTATAGATTTATTTACCTATACATGATATTTCAGTTATAAAAAAATGTATGTCAACACAACAAAATTACTTGTGGCTTTAAACTTCTCATTTATCAATGAACATAACAGTGGAAAAAAACATAAAAAGAAGTAAATTTCCCATTTAAGAGAATATAATGCTTTATTCAGGACATTCATTCCATTTGCATCTTTGTGTCAGGTGTCTCACACATGATGGTAAAAAAATTGTAGACATTGAATAAGGCACTATAGCTGGGTTTATGTAAAACCTCAGAATAAGGTTTTGAGAATAAGATACCAATGCTATCTTGAGAATAAGATACCAATGTTCATTGAAAAACAAATTTAATATAATGAACTAATTGTATAATAAAGTTGTGTTTTATCATTTGTCTATTTTAATAGCAGGAACTTCTATTTATAAATTACATTGTTTTATGTTGCATTGGGACTAATAGGACACATTATATTTCAGAATATTATATATTATTTCTTAAAGGTATTAGTTAAAAATATTCATAGTATTTGTATTCTTGGTAAATGCAATGCAAAATAATATATAACAATAAATGCTAAAAAACTTACATTCTTATAGTTAATTGACTGTTAATTTTTGGGGAAAAGCAGCAACTTTTAATATACACTCATATTTGATGTGACTTACAAATAAATACAATAGTAAGAATGTGATTTGTTTTTACAGATTTAAATTTTAGGACATTATATACATGCTAAGTGGCTGCTACTGAAAATAATTTTGGATAATGATATAATAAATAAATACAGACCTATAATTCCATGGATGTTATTTCAAACACAATTAACATAAAACAATTATGAATATCTTTTCAAAATGCTATGCTTTTAACATAGCAACTCAGGCATAGTTACATGCAAATGCCACACTGCTGTTTTCTTATTTTGTTAGTTAAAACCAATTTAAATTATGTGTAATGGCATGGACAATGGAAATTTCTATAACCTGTAGGATATTTATATATATTTTAACTTAATTTTGACATCTTTTATGCATATAAATTTCATTAGTTTGTTATATTTTTAGTAGAAAGAAACAAGTATTTAGCTAAAACAAATGTTTAAACAAGTTTTTATTATGTATTTGACTTTTCCCTCACAAATTTTTTTTTAGGGATTCCAAATTCCAATGTCAATTAAAGAAACTGCATCATATGCAGGTATATAAATACCTTAGCTAAGGTCTGTTGCAAGTGAAATTTTCAATTAAAAATACAATATATTCTTCTAATATGTGTGTTTTATGAATTATTTTATGGGTATTTTAAACATGCTCAGTACAGTATCAAATTTAACTAACATAATGACAAATTTTCATTTTAAAATATAATACATTATTATTTTCATAAAAGATAAAATTATATATTTTAATAGGAAATAAAGGGAAAACTACAACTGATTTATAAATCATTGATAATTTTCCCCAGGGCAATATAATTGTAAATCTTTTAGATAAAATTAGAATATTTATCTTTTGTTTTCTCCTTACCCTTAAATTTTTGCTTGTACTTTTAGGGCAGTTCAAACATTATTTCTTTCAAAAATTCTTCAAAAAGAATCCATTGACTTTGGGGGCTTATAATATTTGCCTCACACGTACATATTTTACAAGTATATGGTGCATATGCCTGTTAGTATTAATTGCCTTCTGTGGTTTTAATATGTCCCCCAAAAGTTTATGTGTTAGAAACTTTGTCCCAAATGTAGCAGTGTTGAAAGACAGGGTCTTTAAAAGTGATTGGATCTTTTAAGAGGGCTCAGCCCTCATGAATGGATTAATTCATTCATAGACTAATGGATTAATGGGTTATTGAGGGAGTGGATTAGTTACCATGAGAGGGTATCTGTTATGAAAGCGAGAGTTTGGCCATCTCTCATGAGCCCCCTTGCCATGTAATGCCCTCTGTTGCCTCAGGACAATGCAGAGAGCACTCACCAGCAAGAAGGACCCCGTCAGGTGCAGGCCCACATACTCAACCTTGGACCTCCCAGCCTCCAGGACTCAAATAAATAAAATTCGTTTCTTTGTAAATTACCCATTGTCAAGTGTACAGTCACAGCAACAGAAGACAGACTCATATCTACTCAATATCTATTACCTACTGCTTACTCCCCATCCACTAATAATTGTTCTAAGGCTTAAGAATCAGCAAACTCTTACTTTTATTTTTTAAGAAATAGTTTAGGTGTGGTTAAATAAAAAAGGTAAAAATAAAAATTTTTGAACCTTTAATCCTACTCTCTATATTTGTATTGTATCTTAAAGTTTTTGTACCAATATAAATAAAACATAGAATAAATATATTTTTCAGATCAACCATACAATGCATTGACAATGATAATTTTTGTTGGACTTGCTATGTGTTACTGTGTTGTGTTTAATATAAAACTATAACTTGAGTGTATCATATTAAGGACAACTGTACCTTTGTAATATCATATATAAGTGTGTATGTGTATGTGTATATATACACACAATGTGTATATACACACAATGTATGTATATACACATACACACACACAATGAATATATAAATACTATTATCTCCATTTAAAAGAAATGGAAACCAAAGCTTAGGGAATTCAAAAGCATGCATCTAGAAAATCAGAGAACTGGAATCTGCCTAACTCTTAAATTCACATTCATAATTACAACAATCTACACAATCCATCAAACAAACAAAAAAAAACACATTTATTCAGTACCTACTATGCTTGTAAATGTCCTAAGAGACCAAG